TTCCGAAATGGGAAGTGGGTTTTGCTTCTTCCTCACTGGGGAGTTTGCATGGCAGAAGATGCTCCATTACTTGGTGGGCGACGCAGATTTTGGAGATGACGTTTTGGAAGACAGTGAGGAGCAGAGAGATGAAGCCCAACAGCATAAGCTCCTCTTTAATTTTCTGCAAGGCTTCGAAGAGAGGCTTCTGGTTGTTCTTCTTCAAGTACTTGCCTCCGTAGTGGAGGAGGCGCTCGAGTGCCAGAGATATGGCGACGATCACAGTACACACTGCAGCCACAACCCATGTCGGCGTGAACTCTAACGTCTTCCCTACTTCGCTTTCACCACCACTCATCCTTCACCTTCTTTTTTCCCTCTATCTTTTCTCTTCTTCTATTCTCTCCTCAGCTGCTTCAGTTCACATTATAATGACAAAGCTTTAATTATTGTGCCCACAAAAATTTCTTTAATCTTTATTGTTGACTATGAAAAAAAGAAGTTACTTTTGGAAATACGTTTCCCACACTGGTTTCTGGGATTCAGACAAAAAGACAAAACACACACTAATTTTAATTTGGTTTCCTTCAAAAGAGAGGAGACTAATTTGGTGAGGTGGTGCAATAGTATTATGAATCTTTTCTTTTGAAATGATTAATTATGAAATTTTAGGAGTTACATCAGGGTCACCCCGAAGGACAGCACCGACCGACCAGCCATATCTGGACTCAACCGCTGAAATTTATTTTGAGTAAAATATTATTTGATAAATATATTTGGTTTTTGATATTCTTGTTCTGGTTCAATAAAAAAATATCAATAAATTAGCATCCTCATCTTTCTCCACACAAATAAAAAAATCTTAGTCATCACAATAACAAATATTAAGACTGCCACCTTTTTTAATACAACTATATTGGATGAGGGAAAATTTGATATAAATTTGTAGTTATCAAAACTGCCACTTGGTATGATGACATAAATAAATAGATCAATTATCAAACCAAACATTTTAGTTTGAAAATCAAAGAATTTGAAATAGAGAAGTACATAAGGGGTTTTCGATAGGGTGTGGATTGCAACTAATCTTTTTAGTTTTCTTTTTTATAAATTTTTAGAAAAGCGATAATTGTATTTATAAATTAAGTACAAAGATCATCCATCAGCCACAAGGGAAAATACAAATTCTCATAAAAGGGTAATACAAATATGGAAGCATAATAATCGCATAGGGTTAATCCTAGGGATGGCAAAAATCCTCGTGGGGGCGGGTTCCCGTCGAGTCCCCAATCCTAACAAGGGAAGATTTCGGGGCCAAACGGATATCGGGTACGGGGATTCCCGAACTTGAAAAATCCTTGACGGGTATGGGGAGGGGATGGTATTGGCGTCCCCATCCCCGAACCCGGCCCGAAAATATATATATATATATATATATATATATATTTAAATAAAGAAATATATAATTATAATATTTATGTTTAACCTTAAGTTAACCTCCCTCTCCTAATTCTTCCTAATCTTATTTGGAATTTCATATTGATGTGATTTTGAATAGTTGTGTTAAACTTTATAGTTAATTTGGATGTGGTGAATGAAAATTTAATATGAAACTTAATGTTAAAATGTATGATAAATATTTTTTAGGGAAATTTGCATAAATCCCGCCTGAACTTTTAAGCATGTGCACTGTTACCACCTGAACTTTTAATTTTTATTATTAACCACCTGAACTTTAGAGAGTGTTGCAATGTACTACCTATGTCTAACTCTGTTAAACTTTTCGTTAACTTTAAGAACAATTACGTCAATTCACTATAACTAAAAAAACTTAACATTTTAAAAACTAACATAATTTATAATTAATAATTTTTGTTCTTTATTAATAACCTAAATTATATCCCACAGTTTCTCCCATCCATTCAACAACAACTTTCCCCCTTTCCCAGTAGACCCCTCCCCCACCCTCTACATATATCCAGAGGTGGGGAACGATAATTAGGTTAGGTTTATTATTTTATTATTTAAATTTGTTAGTTTTAAAATGTTAAGTCTTGTAGTATAGTGAATTGACGGAATTGTCCTTAAACTTAATGGAAAGTTTAACAGAGTTGGACATAGGTGGTACATTGCAACACTTTATAAAATTCAGGTGGTTAATAATAAAAATTAAAAGTTTAAGTGGTAATGGTGCACATACCTAAAAGTTCATGTGGTATTTATGCAAATTTCCCTATTTTTTATACCAAAAAAAATTGGGAATTAAAGGCGGGTATGGGGGATAGTCCCCCGACGGGGATTCCCTGAAACCAATTAAACTGGGATGGATTAGGGGACGGGGACGGGGGCGGGGATGGAGAGCGGGGATGCGTATGGTAATGTCATACCCGGCCCCTATCCAACCCGTTACCATCCCAGATACATGCCACAAAATGCGAGAGAAATTTTGGTAAACATCTTTAAGTTAATTTTGTCATTTGGAGTATTAATGTAATTTTCAAAATCTAAAGAATTTTGTGAAAATAAGAAGAAGAAAAAAAATTGAGGGTGAAAAATCCCAAAGTGCCCCTTACCCTTCTCTCAGGCTCTCTCTCTCTCACACACAATTTTCTCTCGCACGACCAAAAAAAAACCGTATCTACCACTCAACGGCAACGACAGCACCCACCAACCAATAAGTCCGTGAATCGGCAAAGGTAAGAGAAAATCTATGCGGATGCTTTTAGCTTCTCCTTTTTGAATTAGTTTTGTTTAAGAGAATGGCTTTCCAAGGCTAGCAGCTTGGGATTTGATCTGTTCCATAATTAGTTTGCCATTCATTTGTGATAATATAAATCTGGAATCAAGTAGCAATTGGAAATTGGAATCATTTGTGAATAATTTGTTTTAGTGGATTACAGTAACACATTGAGGTTGGAGCTCCTCCTCATCAGAAACCCTCATCTCTTCAAGACTGACTACTGAGTGAGTGGTTGATCAATGGCATCACAATCAGATCACAAGGCTGCGATAATCGATGGCAAAGCCATAGCGCAGACCATCCGAAACGAAATTGCTGAGGAAGTCCGCCATCTCTCCCAGAAATATGGCAAGGTCTGCTCTATCCCAACTTTTGTAATTAATTAGTGGATGGATTTTGACACTGCAATTATGCAATTATGCAATGATTTAGGTTCCGGGGCTGGCAGTAGTGATAGTAGGGAACAGAAAGGACTCCCAAAGCTATGTGAGCATGAAGCGAAAGGCATGTGCTGAAGTTGGCATTATATCCTTGGACATTGACCTCCCTGAGGATGTGTCCCAAGTTGACCTCATTGCCAAAGTTCATGAATTAAACGCCAATCCCGATGTACATGGTTGGTTACTTGAATGATAGTGGCTCACTTGTTAATTACCGATTTTTTAATTCAAGCTTAGTGAAACCAGTGCTAAATTTTCATTTGTTAGTCGTGAAAGTATGTTTTATTTGGTTGGCAGGTATACTAGTTCAGCTTCCGTTGCCAAAGCATATAAATGAGGAGAAGGTGTTGAGTGAAATCAGCATTGAGAAGGATGTCGATGGCTTTCATCCTCTCAACATTGGCAAGCTTGCAATGAAAGGCAGGGAACCTTTATTCCTTCCATGCACTCCCAAGGCAAGACAATTGAGTTATGTATTCAAATCAAACACAGATATGGAGCTGTGAGAGGCTTTCATGTGGCAGTTAGCGGTTTTGTTTTATGTGATGGTTTTCTCTGCAGGGCTGTCTGGAACTTCTGTCACGGAGTGGCATAAGCATAAAGGGAAAGAAGGCAGTGGTGGTGGGCAGAAGTAACATAGTTGGATTGCCGGTTTCGTTGCTGCTTTTGAAAGCAGATGCTACAGTTACCGTTGTCCATTCTCATTCTCATGATCCAGAGAGTATCATTCGTGAAGCGGACATTATTATTGCTGCAGCAGGGCAGGCAATGATGGTAGGTAGTTCACAGATTGTTGTTCCTTGATATGGAGTAACATTGTCTTATGACATACATGTTTTATCTCGTTTAATATTTGTTTGGCTTCCCATGAGATTTCTAGTTAAAAGTAGTGCTGAAAACCAAGGTACTTCACCCATAAATACTAGCACAGAACAGTAGATGCCATATTTTTCAGTATACACAACTTGTACGTAGTTATATACTTCAAACACCTTCAGATATGCTTACACAAGAAAACTGAAATGCAACTAAGAGAATAGGTATGCTTGATTGTTTCGTCCCATTCATCCCAAGTGAAGGAAAAAGGAAATTCTTGGGCCCTGGTAGTACTTCCATCGTTTTTACTGCTTAGTTGTATGTAAGGCAATGCCTCTCTTCACTAAGTTGTATCATTGCTTCGATGAAATGACTTGACATCTGTTACTGGAGCAAACATCATTTCTGTCGGCCCTATACGTTTTAAATCGATGAATAATCTATTAAATTTTAAGTTAATCAGTGTATCTATTTAATTTCAGATCAAGGGTGGTTGGATAAAACCAGGTGCTGCAGTCATCGATGTCGGCACAAATGCAATAGACGACTCGAGTAGAAAGTCAGGCTATAGATTGGTGGGAGATGTTGATTTCCAGGAAGCATGTAAGGTTGCTGGATGGGTAACTCCTGTGCCTGGAGGCGTCGGCCCAATGACTGTTGCAATGTTACTCAAGAACACTTTGGATGGTGCTAAGCGTGTTATTGCACAATAAAACCAGTGCTAAGCGTGCCCAAATAATTCTAGTGGGCCTAATTTAGAATTTTGATTTTGAAGATTTACTTTAGAGACTTTTTTATATTTATTTTTGTGTTAAAAGGTCTTCGGAATTTCACTCCCAGTTTCAACCTATCTTGTGTTTGGTTCATGCATACATGATACATACGCTTGTATGAATAGTTAATTGACTAAATTCTCCTTAATAGTTTTTTTTTGGTACAAGTGATAGTTTAAATTAAAAAAAAGATAAAGGTTTATGATGTAATGTGTGGGTTCGATCACTAATCTGCAAATCAATGCCATTTTTCACTGGGCTAGACACCGCCCTCCCGGAATTGGTACATTCTCTTTAAATTGTATTTATTGTTGTCAAATTATTGTATGTAAATATATGATTTAGACTTTCACCAGCCAACCAGTGATTGAATACATTTCTTTTCTACTTTTTTTTTTTTTTTTTTTTGGTGGTTTGAACCGCGAGGTGGTCCTGGATGGGCCCCAACTATGGGTGGCACCTTTAAGCATTAACCACAATCCAGACTAATCCCCGCTCACACCGGGTCGGCCCGTAAGGGGTAAAGTGCTGGCCAAAGTGGTGACTCCATACGAGAGCAGGGATCGAACCCCTGACCTCTCTTAAGGAATGAGAGTGCCGAACCACTCACACTAAGGCCCAGTTTGGGATTGCAGTCACTTTTAAAAAAAAGTTGCTTATGCTGTGCTTTGAAAATAATTAGTTGTAAAGTAAAGCAGCTCCATGTTTGGTAAACAATATTTTTAAAGTGCTGTTAGTACAAAAAGCAGTGTAAAAAACGTTTGGTAAATTTTAATATAAAATTATTGTAACTGTGAATAATGACTAAAATAGACATGATGTTAAAAGTGTTATATACTAATCATGTGGTGGTAGTTGTAGTGATGGAGTGAAGGTGGTGAAGGTGGTGGGGATGGCAGTTGTGGAAGTGGTGGTGGTGGTGGCAGTGGCAGCATGGTGGTGGTGGTGGAGGAGGAGGTGGTGGTTGAGGTGGTGGAGGTGGCAGAGGAGGTGGTGGTGGCAGAGGATGAGGAGGATGAGGATGTGGTGGTGGTGATGGTGGTGATGTTGGTTGTGGAGGTGGTGGTGATGTTGGTTGTGAAGGTTTTGGGGGAGGTGGTGGTTGTGGTGGTGGTGGTGGTGGTGGTGGAGGTGGAGGTGGAGGTGAAAGAGGAGGTGGTGGTTGTGGTGGTGGTGGTGGAGGATGAGGATGAGGAGGATGTGGTGGTGGTGGTGGTGGCAGTGGTTGTGGAGGTAGTGAATGTGGTGGTGCAAGTGGTGGAGTTGGATGCGGAAGTGGAGGTGGTGCTTTTTACCAAACACCTTAAACTACTTAACTTTAAAGTGAAGCGGGTTTTTGGCCAAAAAAAGCAATCCCAAACGGGGCCTAACCACCTTGGTTTTTCTTTTCTACTCTTTTGGTTAGGTAAAACTCGCCCTCTTTTCAAACATGGATTAATGAACTATTTTAAGAAGCATCTGACCCCTTAACAGAACATCATTAAGGGACCAGACCATAATCTGATTACATAGCTGTTTCCCTCTTTTCGGCCGGGTAGGCCGATTGAAGAAGTTTTTTGTCCTTCTTCTTTTTTGAGTGCGGGGCGTGCCACCACCAAGCCCCGAATTTGGGCTTGAATGAAATGTGAGTTGATGGATGTGTTGCGTCCGAGATCTGACTTTAATCAAACTATTGTTCGGCCGAGCAAGGAACCTCCTCACGGCCTAGGTTCTTTCACTACCTCGGGGTCAAGGCTTTATGTGAACGACCAAATGATGTGGAGTGGGTGGAGATGAAGATTGAAGGTGAAACGTAATGAAACGAAGAAAAAATTGCATAAAGTAAATGTGCTTAAACTTAAATATAATTTAAAGACAAACGCGTAAAGTAAAGTGTGAAAGATAAATAACGTAAAGACGAGAATTAAAGTGCGATAAAATGAATTAAAGCAATAAATAAAGCAAGAACGAAATGAAAGCGATAAGAACGATAAAGTAAAATGAACTTGAAATTAAACTTAATTGAAGTGCGATAACAATGAAAAGTAAAGCAATTGAAATAAACTTGAATTTAAATGACAACGTAATGTAAATTGCAAGAATTTAAACATACACTAAGAAAAGGAAGAACTTGCTACACTAGGTGCATGAAAAGTAAAATCCTAAGTCTAGGAAAAGAAAAGTGGGAGACGAAAAATAGGTTTGTCTGTCTGATGTTGTGTGTCTTCTGCTGTTGTCTCTTCTGCCTTCGTCGAGCAAGGTTTATAAAGGGCACTCGTCAGCCCATGGGCTGGCCATTGAATGGCCAAATGTCAACTCTTCTAAAAAATCTTTCCTTTCGAAGCCCTCCTAAATCCGTG